GGTACGTAAATTTACTAACGATAATATGGTTTCCGTTGAATTTGACCCTTTTGGATTTTCTGTGAAGGACCTACAGACGGGGAGCAAACTACTGAGATGTGAGAGCACGAGAGAGCTCTACCCTTTCACCACCAAAAATCGGGCTATTTCATCTTCAGCACTTTCTGCTTTTACAATCATTTCTCCTAGTATTTGGCACTCCCGTCTAGGTCATCCGGGAGATGAAATTCTTAGTACTCTTCACCAAAACAATTTTATTAGTTGTAATAAAGCCCGTAATTTATTTTGTTCATCTTGTCCCCTTGGGAAGTTTGTTAAATTGCCTTTTTATGATTCTTTATCTTTCACCACTATGCCTTTTGATATTGTTCATAGCGATTTGTGGACGTCACCTATTCTTAGCTCATCCGGCCATCATTATTATGCATTATTTCTTGATGATTACACTAATTTTTTGTGGACTTTTCCTTTGTCTCAAAAATCACAGGTTCACAACATTTTTCTCTCTTTTCACGAATACATAAAAACTCAATTTGAAAGAGAAATAAAATCATTTCAGTGTGATAATGGTTGTGAGTACGATAATGGTCCCTTTCATAATTTTTGTGAACAACATGGCATGTCATTCCGTTTTTCGTGTCCTCACACTTCTCCTCAAAACGGGAAAGTAGAACGAAAAATAAAATTCATAAATAATATTGTTCGTACTCTGCTTGCACATTCATCTCTGCCTCCCTCCCTTTGGCACCACGCTCTACAAATGGCTACCTACCTTCTAAACATCCTTCCCACAAAGGTTTTAGGCTACAAATCCCCTACACAAATTCTTTATCAAAAGAATCCTTCCTATTCTCATCTTCGGGTTTTCGGGTGTTTATGCTTCCCACTTTTTCCATCCACCACAATTAATAAACTCCAAGCCCGTTCAACTCCATGTGTCTTTTTAGGCTATCTTTCCAATCATAGGAGGTACAAGTGTTATGATTTGTCGGCTCGCAAAATTATCATTTCGCGTCATGTGCATTTTGATGAAACTCAATTTCCATTTTCAAAAATCCATACTCCAAATACTCATACATATGATTTTTTAGAGGATGGTTTGTCTCCATTGCAAATTCACAACTTGCATCAAAATGTCGCCCAATATCAACAAAATCAACTCCCTCAATCTCCTTCTCCGGCCCAGTCTCCTGTGCTCACAATGTCTCCTTTGCAGGCTGCCCTTTCCCCACCAAGAACGCCCTCCCATTCTCCGGACCAGGCCCAAACCACCCCTCTATCGTCTACCTTATCAAGCCGCTATATACCACCTCATCAAAGATCTGAGCCCTCTTCTCCAAGCCCAGCAGCCCCCCCTCCACAGCCCACACCTCACTATCATCCCCCAGCCCATCGAATGACTACTCGTAGTCAACATGGCATCTTCAAGCCAAATCGAAAATACCCCCATGCCTTAAGTGCCGAAACTCCAAAAATCTCTCCTATTCCTCGTAACCCGATGAGTGCACTTAATGACCCGAATTGGAAATCTGCTATATTAGATGAATATAATGCTCTAATCAAAAATAAGACGTGGGATTTAGTACCTCGTCCATCTCATGTGAATATAATTCGATCAATGTAGATTTTTTGTCATAAAAAGAACTCTGATAGTTCTTTTGAGCGGCATAAAGCCCGTCTTGTAGGTGATGGCAGGTCGCAATGAGAAGGGATTGACTGTGAAGAGACATTTAGCCCGGTTGTAAAACCGGCGACTATTCGGACTATTCTTAGTATTGCATTGTCCAAATCTTGGCCCATTCATCAGCTAGATGTCAAAAACGCATTTTTGCACGGGAACTTGAATAAGACTGTTTACATGCACCAGCCTATGGGGTTTAAAGACCCCACTCGTCCTGATCATGTTTGTCTGTTACGTAAATCTCTTTATGGTCTTAAGCAAGCTCCCCGCGCCTGGTATCAACGGTTTCCTGATTTTGTTGCCATAATTGGTTTTACTCACAACAAATCAGATCACTCACTTTTCATATATTGTCGTGGGATTGACATTGCATATATTTTATTGTATGTTGATGACATTATACTCACAACTTCTTCCGATGTTCTATTATCTCTCTTCTCAGTGCAGAATTTGCTATGAAAGATCTGGGTCAGTTGAGTTATTTTCTGGGTATTGCTGTCACTCGTACCAACAATGGTCTTTTTCTCTCTCAACAAAAATATGCCGAAGAGATATTAGAGAGGGCAGGAATGACTGCTTGCAAACCTTGCCCCACACCCGTCGACATTAAGGGGAAACTAAGTGCAAAATCGGGTGACCCTTATGATGATCCGAAGAAATATCGTCGATTGGCTGGTGCCCTGCAATATCTTACCTTCACAAGGCCAGATATTTCTTATGCAGTCCAACAGGTCTGCCTATTTATGCATGCTCCGAAAATTGAACACATGGAGTCTTTGAAACGCATTCTTCGTTATGTACAAGGTACAACTGATTATGGTATGCACTTGTATACGTTTTCGATACACTCTGTCTTGTCATATACAGATGCAGATTGGGGTGGATGTCCTGATACTAGACGGTCCACCTTGGGTTATTGTGTGTTTCTCGGAGATAATCTCATTTCTTGGTCTTCTAAGCGACAACCTACAATATCCAAGTCTAGTGCCGAAGCTGAATATAGGGGTGTCGCTAACGTTGTATCTGAGTCTTGTTGGATTAGGAATCTTCTTCTTGAACTTCATTGTCCTATCCAAACGGCAACTTTGGTCTACTGTGATAATGTTAGTGCGATATATTTATCCGGGAATCCAATTCAACATCAACGCACTAAACATATTGAAATGGACATACACTTTGTTCGTGAAAAAGTACAAAAGGGAGAGGTGCGTGTCCTTCATGTCCCGTCTCGTTATCAGATCGCAGATATTTTTACAAAAGGGCTTCCGCGCATATTATTTGAGGATTTTCAGGACAGTCTCAACGTCCGACAATCTCCCGCTAAGATTGCGGGGGTGTGATAGAATATAAATTTATTCAAGTTAATTTCCACAATTATCTTTTAGATTGATTGACCATATCTCTTGTATAGTTGGCTCTCCTAATTTGTAGTGATTGATATCTTGTAATTGTAATTATCCTAGCCTAGAATTACGTTAGTCATGATTGTATATTAGGAACACTGATTCAAGGCAATGGAGAAGGGAAAAAGAATTCCTGTACTTTCAATGTCATCAAAGGATTTGGGAAACCTGAAATTTGAACACCCATCAAAACAAAAAAAATAAAAAAAAATTGCTACTTGAAATAATCATCCATACACATCAACGTCGTTGGAAGGGATACAGTCATACAGTTAGAAAAATCACTTTTTTGGAGGAACTTTATCACACTGGTGGTGGTGGAGTAGGGAAAAGTAGGGATGCCAATGTACATCGCACGAGTAGGCTGCTAGTCTATAAGATAAAATAAGATAGACTTCAATAAATCCATCTGATAGTCTCAGATAAATTCATCTAACGACACTGTTCACGTTGTATTTTATATTCAAACACGGGTAACTCCTAATGTAATGAAAAACTAGAGCTATCAATGATACGAAGCTTTCTACGAATTCATAAGTAGATTCTGCAACTGAGTTGAAACATTCAACAGGTCGACTAAGAGGAGCAATTTGATTCATAGTGGGAAGAATAGCAACCTGATTCTCCAAAACTAAGAAAATTTTGAGCATGAAGTTTTTGAACTTATATCATACCAAACTTATTTCAATAAATGTGGACAATAAAGATGGGGAAGCCGGTTGTTAGAGCATATTTAATTGTGACTCAAATTTGAATTATCATTCGAATAATAAGTTTGATTTGATACGAGGGACTCCAATGAACAGACTCAAATTTAAAGAAGCAAAAACTCAAATTTAAATAAGGAGAAACCCAAATTTAAAAAAGAATAAAATATGATCATTGGATCTTTAAAAAATGGTGAAATCTCACCATTAAAGATTTGAGTAAGCATTTGAATCTCTCTGAATTTGAATAAAAAAATAAGTCTCTCTTGATTTGATATGGATTTGGGTATAGGGTTGCAAAAGATTTTTAGAAATTTTTTATTCAAATTTAAATTTGGGTCTAAAAAAAAAACAAATCTTGGAGATGCTTTTAGAACGCTCCGAGGCACTAAATTCATGTGCAGTTCTAAAAGTTTAAACTAGAATGCAACTTTAATTTGTCCCATAGAAAGAGACCTGAACGATAAAAGGGATTTTATGCTAAATGAAATGATTTTTCACACAATAAGGTCTCCAAATAGACGACCCACACAAATTAATCCATTTCATTTGCAATGTACATGAGAACCCAACAAAAATTTATTGGAGATTCATGTAAGACTGTTATTTATATGGCAGCAAGAATTAAAATTTTATTTTGGTGTATTATTTTCATCGTCTAGAAAATAAAAATGATTCAAAAATATTTTGCAAACATTTCGAGAACAAAATGAAAATAGAGGATAAATTTTGAAATTTATTTTTAAAATATTTTCAAAACATCTTGAAACCCCCCTCAACCTTTCAAAATATCTCGAAACAAATTAAAACATATACAATTCAGTTTGTTTCGCTTCCATAGAAGAAAAAAAGTTTTAATCGTTTTGAAATGAAATTTTTGATCCCCGATCCCCTCTCAAGTTGATTCACAAATTCTTGAAATAACATTTTACATCCTGAAAGATTCTCAAATTCTTAGTTTACACCCTAAATATTAAAATTATCATATTACCCTCGCAATCAGATAAAAAAAAAAGCTAGCAATGTAGTCCAAAATATGAGAATTTCAACCTTTTAAGGTGTAAATGGAAAATACGCAGATCTTTTTGGGCAAAGTTTGACAAGCTTACTATATTTACCAGAGTTGGCAATGAGATCATACCTGATAGCATATATACCCACGTATACAATAGTAGCATCCCTCGTCTCATTTCTCAGTAGTTCGCATGATTAGCGCAAAATTTCATTGAACACTCTTGCAGCAGCATTGTAACTCGATATACAACCATAACGATCGAGATTTTCAGAAGTTTTCTCAACCATTGTAAGTCTTTGTGGGAGACAACCAAACGGTCCAGTGTTGTGGACCCAAAATCTCCTGCCACCTCCATTATATATAACCTAAATTTGACATAAATGAAAAAAAAACTAAGCTTCATAAAAAAAATCATTAAATTCTTACCTAACATATAAATATAAAATTAAGCTAGTCCCCTTAAACTATTAAAATTTTCACATTGTCCTCTTAATTACTAGAATTATTACACACTTTTTGGATAGAAATTACCTACGTGTTAAGATAAAATGGAAAAATTACATAGTTTGGGGGACAAAATGAAACAATTTTTCATAAAATATATAACAAATGTTAATAAATGGGGTGATGTGAAACTAATCACATAGTTGAGGGTGCAATATGAAAAATACGATAATTAAAAGAGAAAGTAAAAAAAGTCAAAACTGAAGGGACTAAAGTGTAATATTTCCTAAATATGACGATTAGTTTCTCCAACAAAGCAATAGTTCATTTTTTTTATGCGAATTACCCAAAGTAGGTGCATATAGCATGGGGAGAATTTAGTTAAAATGGGATGAGTATGGAAAATGTGGACTTAGTTCTTCAAAAATAAAAATTTTAATGGGTGAAAATGGATATTTGTGAGAGTGGGAGTAACCTCAACCTTCATTAATAACATTTTTGGTCTACGCTTAGAAGTTTAGTTTTCTTAGTTAAACTTTTCTAGGGTTTTTTTTTTGTGGGCTTACTGTTTTATGAGACTTACGCTTCTCAATTGGGCTAAATCAATCATGCTATATATTTATCATAATTTTTATCAAATTTCTTTTACTAAATCAATGTGATTGGTGGATTGGTTGATTCCATTAACTCCCACCAATCATTCAACTAAACAATTTATGCATTTTAAAAAGAAAATCTACACATTTTATAGAAAAAAAACAGATCAATTTGAGTGATTCATCATGAGCTTCGTGAATTCAGTTGTCCCGCCATAAATGACTTATTTTTTACCGGATCAAGAAAGAAATTAGTCGAATAATACATAAGTTGATCCAAATATCTCTAACCACAATACCAAAAAAAGTGTGATAATTTTTTTTCTAAGTACATTTTATTCATGGAAAATATGTGGGTCTTTTTTTTGTGAGTGGGGTTTAAATTGGTTGCTTCTTCCTTTTGTAGGTTTGGATTTGTAAACTCACCTGAATGGCATTCTTGATTTGTGATACCACGGACGGGATCTTTAGAACAACTTGCTCATAAGGCATGTTCTTAGCGAATGAATCAGAGACATCAGTTTGTCCGATATCGATCACATAAAGTGCATTGCGGAACGCTTGATCATCAAGCAAATGTCCAGAACCTATTACAAGTACGATAGAGTCATCAATACAGCAGCATTTTAGTACTTGGTAATTAGTATTGTTAACCACATAACAACAACAACAATATTGTAACGAAATAACTCCGAAACTTAGAACTTTTAATATTTTATTATTAATTCATTTCGATATCTATAAAAATAAAAATATTTTGACGGTTTCGGACTTTTGGTTTTGATCATAACGAAACTAAGGAAGTGAAATGAGGAATTAATTACCTGCAGCGACAAGTTCAAGGGACCTGGCCTTGAAATGGAGGAACTGCAACACCTGAACATTCAATGCAAAGAGTATGTTTCTGGGGAGAGTAGAGGAACCCACCACAGCAAAATTTGCTCCATTTGAAAATGTGGACCCCAATGGTTCCGGGTATGGCCTCAGAAAGCTACTGTTCACACTTTGACCTGAACAAAGAGAAAAGGTTGTCAACATGTCACTACATTTGATTCAAAATCATACCAAAACAAACCTTCAAATATACGGTTGTCTCCGCTGCAAAGTAGATATGAGAAGTGCAAATTACATTTTGATTTGCTTAACTGTGGATTTAATTTCACTTTGACCCTAAATTATTGAATTTTTTCACATTACCCCCTAAACTACGGGAATTATTGTAAACTACTCCAAACACAATCGTCTATTATCTTTTTTGATGTACTTTGCCAACCTTTTCGGGAAAAAGTGAAAAAAATCTTATCTTTTGAGGGGAAAATAAAATAACTCTTTGTCTCAAGAGTAATGTTATGATGACCAAATTATTCCTCAAATTTTGTATCACAAATCAATGACGGTGGTTGGATTAGTAAGGTTCACTAATTTTGGAAAATATTCAATGCATGAGATTTTGACACATCACTTGAGATACAAGATTTGGTAAAAAATTTGTGCAGCATAGTTTTGTCCTTGTCTCAAATTCGTAACAAAAGTTAATAATTAGAGTGATGAGAAACAAATCACATCATTAAAGTTCAATGTATTGTTCAAAAAAATGTGTAATGTGAAAAATATTATAGCTAAGGGAAAATGTGACTAACAGATAATAGTTAAAGAGTTTAAAATATGATTTATCCAAGGCTAATCGACCGTCTACAACCATCTAAGGAAGTCCAATAAATTGTATATGAATTAACATTTTTTTTATGGACAATTTAAATTCGATCCATAAATAAATATTACAATATTTGACTCAATTATAAGTTGATCCATTTTCCACATTTATATATGTGCAAATAAATGATAAAATTAAGCGATTACTTGATGAAATTGTCTTCCCAATTTTGATAAAAATACAACTTAATTGAGTTAGTTGGATCAGATCGGATATCTGACTCCCTAATGGATTCAAATATGAAAAAATAGCATCCGTCAATTAATCAGATCAAAAATATTTTAATTAAATTTGAATATAAATTGATTTGAATTCGATCCGAATTCATTCTGACTGGTTAACACACCTAATAATAAGTCAGTCTTGGGCCCAAGCATGGTCAAATTAAACTGTAAAGCATATACCTGTTTAATGATCATTGTGAGATCAATAGATCCCACCCAAAAAAAAAAACAGAAAAATTGTCCCCAATTTGAAGTTCCTCCATTTCAATTTTGGTTATTTTCCTACTAACTTAAACACTTACTGCTAATTTCATTAGAATTCTTCACATACTAAAATTTGAAGAATTTTACACATGTAATCTTGTTATTGGATGAAAAAATGATATACGATACAGAAAAAGTTGATTTCCGGAACAAAGACTATTGAATTCCTCACTTTGGTTTAGGAAGGGACCCATAATACCACATGGGCATTGAGCCAGTGGTGTCATATTATAATCCATAGGAGCACATTGTGCAAAAAGAATGCTCACCACAAGCAAACAAGACCAAGTAATATCCAATTCGTAGGCCAAAACCTAGCTGAAGTGTATGGAAAAGTACAATGTTTATAGACAAATGAAAAAGTACCTTAAAAAGTCTTTAAAATTTGAATACACCTTCAATCAAATTAAAAGAAATAATAAAGATGGTATATCAAAGCGTAGAAGGTTATAGGATAATGTATTAACACCCATTAATTCCTATTTACTAGGGCATGTTTGTTTCGGGGATTAAATATAGGTGGTATTGTAAATGAATTCTTTACATTTTTAATACCAATGAAAATTAGTACCGGTAATAGAAAGTATTTCAGTTCTTTCTCATGTTTGCTTGTTCAATAGGTATTGTGGTGGATCTCATAAACAACCATATATTCTATCACATCTTATATAACAAATATATCATTTTACATTTAATATCATACATTCCATTACTTCGTTTGTTTAACGTTTTTGCACAATGTTTGGTATAATACATGATATAACAATTCAAACCAAAAAAATTCCAGATAATATAAAAAATCCGATGTTATGAATCGGTGATACTGTAAAAAAAATTTTTTTTTAAAAATCGGTGACACCATATGCTTAAACATAATAAAAGCAAAAAAATCAAAATAATTTTTTTAAAAAAAAACTGGTAACACCGTATGCTTAAACATAATACAAAAAAAAAATTCAAAATAATTTTAAAAAAAATATAAAAAAACCAGTAACACCGTACGCTTAAACATAATACATGAAAAAAATTCAAAATATTTAAAAAAAAAAAAAAACAAAACCTGTAACATCGAACACTTAAACATAATATAAAGAAAAAATTCAAAATAATTTTTTTTTAAAAAAAACCGATGACACTGTATACTTAAACATAATATAATGAAAAATTCAAAATAAATTTTTTATGGGTTTTTTGGAAGTTAGTACACCTAATTAGACTTATTTGGTAAAAAGTACATAAAACAAAATATTTTGGAAAAAAGTACTCAGCTGAGTTACAAAGACATAAATACCCATTTTAGGGTCATTTAATTCAAAATCTCTTATCTTTAATGCATCTTGATTCAAGTGTTTTTTTTTTTTGGAAAATGGTTTTATTTTAAAATTAATTTAATATCCAAATAATGTAATAGTGTAACAATAACACTGTAACAAATATATTGTAACAAAAACAGTGTTCAGTAATTTTATGTATGTGGTAACAAATTTAAAACGGAAATGAACTATTTTAAATGAAATTATATTAAATTATATGTTTGACAAAATATAATAGTACAATATTTTATGTAAATAGCTTGTTACATTGTTATTGTTATACTGTTACACTTTTATTGTTACATTGTTATTGTTACACTATTACACTATTCGAATATTAAATTAATTTGAAAATAAAACTACTTTCTAAAAAAAAAATGCATGAATCAAGGTGTATTAAAATATAATTCAAAATTTAGATAAGAGATTTAAAAACAAATATATATATATATATATATATTCAAGTTCTCCCATAAAATTAGGAAATGTTTAATACACCACTTTTCAAAGAAAAGTGGTGTATTAAATACACATGGATTAATGGAGAGCAAAAATGTCACAAAAAAATCAGTAAAATTCAAATAATGTACTTAGATACAAATAAGTATCAAAATTAGGACTTAATTATCCACATTTTTTTTTTATGTATTTTTTTACAATTAAGTCTAATTTGGTATACATTCTTCCAACTTTCCCATTTTTTATATGTGAACTCTTAACAGAGGAGGCATTTGTGTTAATTTGCATGTTTGTACCGTCCATTCATTTAACCCATAAAAATAATACCACCGGCTAGGTGGTATTCAATAATACTATATACAAGATTTAAGGGACACTGTTCAAACCGGGTCAGTATTACGACTCGAAAAATAATATTACGTTTAAAATGTTAAACAAACAAAGTAATAGATGAGCCCTAGGTACTATTTCCTTCTATCCCACCCAATAATACCATATAATACCCGAAACAAACATGCCCTTAGGGTACTGATCAGAAGGTTAAGGGTCATCCACTTCATATACAACGTAAATATCAAGTATTCATTGAGACGGTTACACCATATTCTTCTAGATTGTTTCAATCAATATAAAGATCATCTTAACCTAATTGAGTACATGTGTGGTTTTGATGCACACAATTAATTGTATACTACTCATGAAAATTTTGTCCATAATTTCATTAAAAAATGAGCAATGTTATGTCATAGGGGTCTGATTTAGTGACCTAAATTACTATTACTATTACAGTAACTATAGGTCCTAATAATAAATATTGAAACTTTGTGTTAATTTAATGGTTATTCCATTTTATTTGACCGAGAGTTTAATAAGAGAATTTAATTTTTTGGGGTGTAAATTGATAATCAAATATTTTTTTTTTTTAGTGTAAAGTATTGTTCACCCCCCAAATAAAAGGAAAGAAAACCATCCCATGTGACAGCAACCATGATTTTAGCAATCTGCATAAGATGAAATAATAATAATTATGCTACCTTATCCTTACTGTATGGATGTCTCACAAAATTATTTATCTTCCCCTATTGCAACATAGGGAAGTATACAAAGCAATTATCATAATTTCTCCATTATATGCACCATTGATGTATATTTGTTGTATCCGTTACTTAGGAGTGACAATTTTTAATATGATATAAATATACGATTTAAACTCGATACAAATTCCACAAGTTAAAGTTGACAATTTGTCAACACATTAAAAAATAATATAACCCGATAACATAAATAATAAATGGAATAAATTACCAGTAAACATGAATAACTCAAATTTTACATGGTTAACCCATTGAATCTTCAGAAAAGAAGACGGTTTTTTACTCGTTTTACTCTTATATGGACTTGGTGTTCTTTAATTTATGGAAAAATCATGGGCATGGTGATTAAGATACAAGAGTTAACATTTTAGATTTTTAATTTACAAAACATATGAGACACAACACGATAATAATCATATTAAGTAATTGGTCGGACGAAGATGAATTAATACAATCCAAAAACGACTCGGCTCGAGACCATTGACACCCCAGTGGTGTTTTCTTGTTATCTAAAGAAAAAAAGATTTTGGGTGCAACCATTCAATATGCGGAGGTAGGTACATCCACTAAGAATTTGAGGAGAAATAAAACTAGATGGATGCGATAGAAGTGTAGAGAGAGAAACATTCAAAAGGAAGAGGTGGAGGGAAAACTTACAGAGGAAATCGATCAAAAGACGTCCGTCACAGATTCGACCGGTGTATCTGCGGAAGAAGGTACGACCGTTGGGAGGGACGACATGGAAACCGAGTCCGCCGGTGTCGGAGTTGGAATCGCCGAAATTGAATATGACAGGTGTGTTCTTGCACCGAGAGAGAACTGGTGGTGGAAGAGAAAGAAAAACAAAGAGAATAGTTAGTGTGAAGAAGAGATTGGTATGAGTACAGAGAACAGAGAGTGAAGCCACTGTCAAGGCATGGGGCAGAGCTTTTGCTTCAACGTGCTTTACGGTGTTGGATCTATAGTTTATGGTGTGACTTTTGAAGCATTTGAAGGGACGATGGTGCACTATGTCGATCGGCTAAATTCATTGAATAGTTTAGGGAAAATTTTAAGAAACTCTTTTAGTTTATCATATCTTCAAAAACACCCTATTTATTTTAAGAAACTTTACTAACACACCTTGTCCGATTAAAAGTGTTAATTAAAATGTAATTTTATTACATTGTCCATAAGATATTTTATGAAAAACTTTATCCACACTCTCTCTAGATAGACATATCTTCAATGTGACCCCTTTATTTTCTAATTTTTTTTACATATTGAAATTTGGGTCAATTAAAATTTGATTCGAATTAATTAAAATTTGTTATGTATTAAATTTTAAGTCGATTAAAAATTATATTTTTTTATTTTTTAAAATTTAAGTTGATTAAAATTATATTCGAGACTCAAATCAAATTTTAATCAACTTACATTAAATTTTGATCTGCCCAAATTTTGATACGTAAAAAAATATAAATTCTAATCAATTCGAAACGAATTTTAATTGGGGCTAATAGCTCAAGTAGGGCTCAAATCGACTATAATTTTAAAACATAAAGAAAATTTTAATAGGCTTGAATTTTAATAAGTAAAAAAAAATAAAATTTAATTAGCTCGAATCGAATTTTAATCGACTTAAATTTTAATATATAATTTTTTTTAATCAACTCAACTTTTAATATAAGTAAAAAATGAATTTTAATTGACTCGAACTTTAATTAAATTTTATGTAGAAAGATTGTTTGGAGTTTATGTAAGGGCAATTTTGGTATTCTAAATAATTTATTTTTGTTATAAATGGTGGTTTAATAACAGAGGATGTCAGTGATGTTTAAATATAAAATAGAAGAGATGTTAGTGATATTTTTAATAATAAGGGTGTTCTTGAAGATATTATAAACTAGAAGGGATGTGACTAAACTTTTTCCTAGTTTTAATCCTTATTTCTTGTCAGATTAGTCCTCATTATATCAATTTTATCAATTTCGTTCCAAAAATATTCAATCTGTATCACGTTGATCTCTCATCAGACAATCCGTCAAGTTTTTTTGATAGAAGTGACTACGTGTTATTTTTTTTA